GCATCTCAGGCTGACAAGCCTCAGGCTCCCGAAGAAGCAGAGTACGACGAACCCATTCAACTTCTTCAATCTAGCAGCCTAAGCCGCAGTGAAAGGGAGAAGTTGCGCAGGATCGTGACTCCAAAGATCAACACGGGCCGCTTGGAGGTTCCTTCAAATATTTTTGAGATGTGGAACAGTGAGAAGGGGCGGAAAAAGCTCATGGAGATGTGGGCCAAATCTGGTGGAGTCAAGGCCTGGGGTTCAAATCGAGTCTCAAGCTGCGATAATCAAAGCGCATCGTTTCAGCGGAGGCTGTTTTCATTGAACGCGTGGAGATCTTCAGCATGACCACAAAGAGCAAGACCATAGAAGTTCGGGGTGGCTTTTACAGCGCAGAGGATATGCGGTCTGAACTGGGCTATAGCCAGCACACAAGCTGCAGTTAGCTGCGCATATTTTGCCGGCATAGAGTTGGGAGGGGGCACAGGGAAATTGCCTATAGCCATGATCGCTGCATGCAAATTGGCGAGCTGACCCTTTCTTCCAACAAGGGAAAACCGGCCCTCTTCCACTTTTGTTTCGGGCGCTCGATCCCGTTCATGAAAACCAAATGACGTATCTCCCTGCAAACATTGCAGTCTGTTCTGGCCAAGGTCCAGAGTTGACAAGATCATTGCATGGGCCGAGAGCAAGAAGTTGGTCCGGACACTCCCTCGCACTTGATCCCAATGTCCCTCCTCCCTTCAAATCCCAGGGTGCCCGGCGCTCTCCTCTTCGCTTCCTGGCAGGAAGTGTGAGTATGATGAGGAGCAGCTGGAGTATTGGGTGAACACCCGCACGGAGGGAACATTGAAGAGGGAGGACATTGAACGACTCGCTCGCAAGCGGGTTTACGAGGGCGAAGCGGGGGATGATGTTTTGGGCGAGGGGATGAACTTTGAATGTGGGGCTTTCGATGGTCAAGATCCATCAGCTGGGGCTCCATTGGCACAAGAGGGGGACTCTTGCAAGAATGACGCTAGCTTGCACTTGGTGTAAACACATTCTTGCTTGCAGCTTGCGTGAAAATCCCAACTTGCTCAGGCGCAGGCCAAAGTTGCGGATTACTTGAAACACACCCTGAAGGGGAAGAACACGCTGGTGTCGTTGGTGGACAAGATTCGCGACTGCTCTGATCCTGGTTGCGCCTCGCCCCTTGGCACCAAGATTTGTTTATGAAGCTTGTCGTTACCACGTCCCTTTGCATTCCCTATATGTCTTTCATTCCTTTCCTTCCTTTCACTTCCTTTTTCTTGCTGTCTCGTTCCTCCCTTCTCTTTTTGTTTCTTCCCCTTTCTCTGTACTCCTCCCAACCCTCCCAACCCTCTCTCCCTCCCTCCCGCCAGCATGGCGAGCCTTTCGGCATGCAAACGTAGAGCACGTTCTGCAGTCTGGCCTCAGGGCAGTGGCAAAGCTGGAGAAGGTGGCCAAGGAGTTGGACCGTTGTTACGAAGCTCTCGCAGAACATCAAGCGGAGGGCCGGTGTGGGGGCTTCACTGATGAGTGCCGAGGTTGCACAGCCATGGGTTGTTTCGAGGTCACCTTACGTTTGGGCCCCTTTCCAATGAACAAATCCTCCGGCACAAAAACACGCACCCTCTTAGATACATTCCAGATATTCCAAGACCCCAAATCCCATACTTTAAGCCAGTAAGTCGCTTCCCACTGGGAACATTTTAAAGCCCATAATTTTATCCGTTTAGCAAATCTCAAACCAGCGCAAATCCAACCAAAATAACTCAAGGAGTGTACGTGGATGAGGGCCAGAGCAGATCCCATCCTGAGAATATCTACCGGCCTTCTTGATAAATATCGTTCAGCCCAGGCAAGTATTGGTGAGAGCCCTTTTTTGAATTTCAATCCGTTTCTGTTTGGCTCATCATCCCCTGTCTGCCCAGGCTCATCGGAAAGCTGGAGGCGCAGTTCAAAGCTGCCACCAAAGCGAATCTTGCTTACATCTAGCCTTGCTGGGGGAGGGCTGCGCAAACCACCTGGATCCGAAAGTTGCAACCCGTCAGAATTGCCGCCTCCGATCAACCAAGGATGTCTCAGGCCACTGCGGCAGAGGCAGCAGCAAAGCTCCAACCTCAGGGAAACTTTTGGCTGCACGAGCTCTTGCGGTTGCATTCTGAGGCATTACGTGGCAAAAGCAAGAAAGATGAGCAAACCCACCAAGCCTGAAAGCTGAGCCTTTTGGATTTGAACACGCGTGAAACCACGCCTGCTCTCCGCATGTGCAATTTAGACATATGTGCTTCTTGGGTTTGCCAACTGGGAAGGGTGTGCTCAATGGCGTGCACCTTAGACCCTGGTTGGCTAGTGGGGTTTAGCTGTGCAAATGCGCGCGCGGTGACATTGCGGAGAAATTCAAAAAGGGCAATGCCTGTAGAGCAAAACATTGTCATTGGCACCGTGTCAGCGGCATCTGTGGGAAGTGGTATTGAGGGAAAACAATGGCAGGTGCAGCTGAGCTCAGCGACCAAGTCCGGCTCATCGCAAAGAGCTACTCGCGAGGAGCTTCCAGCCTGCAATTTCGTTGTGAAACAGCGCTGCATAACTGAAGAAAAGTGACTTCTGGCATGCCAATATACTTGTGCACTTTCAGTGTTCTACACTGCTTCTCTTGTTAGCAGCTGCTGTTTCTGTTTTCGTCACTTGACAACGGCATGGATGCTGCAGCTTTGACACTGCAGGTACCTGCCAAAGACTTGGTGGAACAGGCCCAGGCCTCCATCAAGCGCGACCCCTGTCACGTCCTTCGGCGCATTGCCTCGGCAAGACTGCAAGACGCAGACTCACCGGTTTTTGAAGCTTTACGGGATGCTGGCTTCGCCTTGGATGTCCCCATCACAATGATCGATTTGCAGGCCTTCAAGTATCCGTGCATTTTGCCAAAAGATATCTTTTCAGCTATTTCACGAGAGGGCTTCCTGCACAAACTTCTTGGGACGTCGACAAGGTTTGCTGAGGAGACTTTACCCACGTTTTGGAAGCTATATCGGTCCGCCTTTCCTTCTCATGACATTTTTTCAGGAAGACAACATTGACTACGCCCACCTCATCCCCATGTATTTACATGGGGATGGAGGGAGGACTTACAAGAAAGACTCGATACTTGTACTATCCATGTTTTCGGCTTTGGGTCGGGGTACTGCCAAGCGACCTGTGGAGTTGCTTCCTGAAAAAAAAGGCCTGAAGAGAAAGCTTGGGGATGATGACCCGGACATGGGAATTAACCTTTTGGGCAACTCCTTGTCCACTCGTTTTATGTTTGCTGCCATCAATGCCGGCTTGTACAAAAACAAGAAGATTGTCTTGGACGCGTTGCTCCGGCAATGGGGGGAAGAGCTCGGCGCACTTTTTGACCCTGGCATCAAGATCGACAACGCATGTTGGCGAGTCTTAGTTTTGGGTTTGACCGGCGATGCACCATTTCTCAGGGATGCTGGAAACCACACAAGAAGCTTTTCAAATGTGCGCAAGTCCTCAACATCGAAGCAAACCCTTGGTGGTGTTTGCTGGCTGTGCGAAGCTGGCCGAACCAATGGGCCTCCGTTTGAGGATGTCAATATTCTGGACGCACAATGGGTTTCAACATCTGGGCCAGCCAACCCACTTCCCTGGCCTCGCCCGAGCACCCTTTTGAAAAACATGCTGTTGAACCAAGAGGATTTGGCGGCGTGGTTTCGCCCTGATCTGTTTCATGTACACCATGCTGGTGTCGGAAAAGACTTTGCTGCAAGCTCCATTGTGTACCTGATGCGCTCAATTTTCCGGAGGCGCTCTATGGAAGACAGCCTACGTGCCATCAACGATGAGCTGCAAGTCTTTTTGGAATTGTCCAAGGAACGACTGCATTTCAAAAAGCTCACGATGGACCTTCTAGGGTACCAGTCAGCATCGACGTATCCCACAGGCCACTGGTCGAAAAGCATGGACACAGCTAGCATTATGAAGTTCGTTCAGTTCCTGTTGGAGAAGGATGAGTGGCATTTGGATGTTGAAATGGACCCGATCTTGACCCTTACCCTTCAAGCTTGCAAGGCGTGCGCGAGCTTGATGAAGACCCTTTTCAGTGCTAACTTTTTCCTTTCACCCCGAGAGGCAGAACAAGCAATTGTGTCTGGCCATCAGTGGCTACTTTCCTACGGAGCCCTGATGAACGCATGCTTGAAGAAGAAGCTTTGCCTATTTAAGGCAAAGCCAAAACTCCATTGTATGTGCCACATCGTGCGGTCGATGTTTGAGCAGTTCATCAAAAACGGCTCAGCTGTTGTTAACCCAGCAGGGGAGGCGACCTACATGAGCGAGGACTTTATAGGTCAAGTGGCAAGATTGTCACGCAGGGTTTCACCAAAGCAGCAGGGCTTGAAATTGACATATAGGTACCTTGTGGCGGTGCGCCGGGCCTTGCATGAATGCTGAGGCGGGCGCCAAAGGTCAGACCAGACCTTGCCGGCCCTTGAAGAGCCAAGCGATGAGCCAAAAGCGTCGCAGGGAGACGGGCCATCTTGGGTTTGCTCGAAAATGCCAAATGTGGCAAACCGCAAACGGCCAAAACTGAAGTGGAAGTGGTCTTCGACCGTTTGTAACTGGTTGTTTGGGGTCCCAGGTATCAGGATTACTTGGGTGTCACACCCCTTTTGGAGGGTACCCTCTCTTTTTTGGAGAAACAAAGGGAACCCAAGGGAAACCGCAATGCTTTGGATTTTGGCTGGGGGGAAGGGGCACCAAAGAAAGACACCCCATAGACCTTTCTGCCCTCAAACTGTGTGGGAACCGAAGCTGCTCAAATTGCCCTTTTGGAATTGGCCTTGGGCGCTGAAGTGACGGTGTCCCAGACTTTAGTGGCCCTGGGGTAAAAAAGGGCACACAGTGGTCTGGTACTTGGCTTCTAAAAGTTGAACACCCCCCCCCCTCCAAACAAAACTTGAAAGCAGGCCGCTGGGAGTCTCAAAGGCGCGAGAATCTCCCGTCTCCTCCTCCTTCAGCGCCTGCTTTAGCTTCGCCCCGGGTCTGCGATCCGACCTCAGCGAGCGGGTGCTCCCAGTGGCAACCCCCGAACCATGCCCAAAAGATTGGTTGAAATGGGGTCCGTTCATCTCCGTTATGAAGGGGTTCCCAAAATTACTCTTGGGGTTGTTACTTCAAACAACAACGAGCCAGTGAACAATGCTGGGCCTGCGCAGCTCAATCGACTACAGAGCGCTTATTGTGGCTGGGCCAATGTTGGGTTTCCATTTGAGAGAGAGGCTAAATTCTCTGGCGTAGAGATATTAAGGCAAGTGTGAGAAACCTTCAGGAACGGTATAGTGAAACCCAATACGGATTTGCCGCTCGCTCATTTGAGTTAGTATTGCTGTAGCCTCCCTTTGGGATTGGATTTTGACTTCCCTTTGATTTAGTACCCCTGCAGCCTCCTGGGAGAGAAATGATTTGAAGTTCCATATGATCAAGTATTGGAGTATATTTGGAGTATTTGCTGGCCAACAAATGAAAATGCAAGCAACATCATCCCAGGCTTCATCCCAGGGGCATTCCATGTTTGTGCGGGCCAATGCAATTTTGTTTGGGAATCGTTTGCTTCCAGGTGTGCATTAAGCAACGCTGTTGGGTGTGCTGGAGACGTCCATCTACTGAAAATCGTAGCCCGAACCAGGAGTTGGCACGAGGTATTAAGCGGGTCTAAGATGATTTTCACCCACCCCGAAGCCGCCTGCTCCGAGGAAAAAAAACGGGTATATGACCATGATACACCACCAACATAATAGTTGTTCGGGGCGGTGGACACACCCCTCATTATGCCTGTTTCCTTTGAACCTTACCAGCCAGAGAGAACCAGCGCAAAAGCTGATGCTTAAGCCCTGCAAAGGTACAGGCCTATATCTTCCTCACGCACATTTCCGCGAATGTATGGTTCGAGCACAAGAAACACCCATCTCTGACCAGAGTCAAAATTTCATGAAAATGCCCTAGTGATTTCTGCTCTTGTTCAACCAATTGCAATGCATGTTCCGCGGATGTCCATTGCTTGCTCATTTTCCAAAGCTGGCCACGACAGAAAAAAATGTCTCCGCTCATATCCATTCTGCTCCAAATACAAGCGTGCAAACTGCTTTGATCCGCAAGGGACCAAATGGAGGGTCCATGTACCTGTGTTAACCAGCAACTTGAAATCCGAGTCGACTGGCCATAACAAGTATTGCCTTTTGAGAAGAGTTTAGCATTCAACTGGTACAACAAGGTCGTTCGACCATTCTCCCCAACCAGAGTAGTACCCAAGACCCATTTACTTTTGGTTCTAGCAACATTGTTACAAAGGTTTCTATATGGCGTGAAGTACGTTGTGTTGAATCGGGAAGGAGTCGGTTTTGGGCGCTGCTCACCATTCGCTGAGGTGCTGCCTCTCCAGCAGCGCTGCCTCACAAGAGATGAGAGTCCCTCAGTTCCGTAGGCCTCAAGGTTGGAACTTTGTTTTTGGAACCCGTTCTTTTCTTGGATGGTATGGTGCAGCTGAGTTCGGAATCCTCCAGAAGCGGAACACCTTGTTTTAGGGTGGTATGGTGAAGGTTGGTTGGTAATCCCCTTTTTGGGTGGTATCAGTATGATGTTTAGTCCCATCACTGGGAGAGCCTCCTGCGGTTTCAAAGATTGTCAAAGAAGAAAAACAGCAAAGTGTACACCAACACCGTGGAACGTAGAACAGCTCTGCAAAACCAACGAGCGCCAAAACCTAGCGATGGCTGAATCCTAGGGTCTCTCGATGCGGCTTTTCATGGGAAGCCACCATTCGATCGTATTCGGGGAAATCCGCCGATGCGTATCAGGAATACCCTCCCTTCCACCAACATAGCACCTGGAGAGTACCTGTACCTGGAAGATCAGTTTCCTTTTGTAGGATCTCCCTGTCAAGTGCCATGTTCGTGGCAGCGAGGAAAAACTTCCGCAAGCAACAAAACGGGTGAACAGATTCTCCCCACCAACCTTGGTCAAAGCGCCGCGGAGAGAAACAACGGATTCAACATGGTTGGCCCATGTTCACTGGACTCGGAACCAACTGTTCCCATGTTTCCAAAGGCAAATCTCAATTCTGTCAAACACTGGCCCTATGAATTGTTCAATTTCAAAGTCTCCCCGAAGCGGTAGGTCAAAGGAAAACCACCCCAGTTTCGGACCCCAGCAGTCAGAACAGCTAGGTCCTCCAGTTGAGAGGTTAGAATAAGAATGCCAACTTGAATCTGTAGTCTATTTTTGCTAGGAGAACCCTCCCAACCAAAACAGAAACGGGTGAGAAAAGCGCACCTAGCTGAAAGACCGAGGTTTGACACACCAAACCTACAAACCTCCACCCACTTCACAAAGACACGCAGCATGGCACTGGAAAAACCTGGTCAGAGTCATGACCCCAGTCAACCACGCCGCGGCCTGAAGCTCCGACTGCAGCACGGCATTCTGGCGCCGCTCGAAGTCCAGCGCCGCAGCGTCCTCGCAGCCAAAGGAGTGGCTCACGTCCAAAAGAGAAGTGCAACAATGGGGCAGAATGCCCCATGGACAGCAGAGTGTGGGGGTATCTTTTTGTTGTTTTTCTCCCTGAGATCCAGCGGACCAGTTTTTTGGAATCAACAACTAATAAGATGTCTTGAAGACCTGGAGCTCTGGGGAAAACAGCCGAGGAAAGCCTAAGGCCGACTTGGATGAAGGCCATGGCCTCCGTGTTCATTGAAGGTTTGCCTGAGGACGTAACTCCGTTGGAAGCTCCTGTCACCATGTGTACATCTATGAACAATTATGCATGTTGCATTTGTTCAAACTCATATTTGTACAGTACACATATTTAGATATGTACAAATCACCTGCAATACGTGAATATGATGTGTTCAAATCCCAGATGCTTTGTCCGGAAGGAAGTCCGTGCCACACAGATTTTGACAGGGGCACCACTGGAATTGCGCACTCAACGGACAGAGGACATCCTTCAAAGGTGGCACCGTCATGGTCTCGAAGTGGCCAGGGTCACTGGGTTCAGCACATCCTGCTGCCGCCGTGAACCCGTGCTTGCAACATTTGTTGCATGATACCCGGACCAACCAAGGGCACTTGTTTTGCGACTATCCGCAAAAGTCTGTGCATTTCCGTGAAATCCATACAAGCAAAAACTGTTTTTCCTTGCGGGCTACAATAAAAGACACAGCAGCATTCAACTACTTTTTTCTGCAAGAATCTCACGTTCAGCTCCGGCCCTGGCACTGCATGCTCATGGGCCCAAAAAACCCAATTGAATGGTGCGCATTTCCCCGATCAAATGTTCCGCTGATTTTCGTACTTTCTCAGCAGATTCCGCAGATTTCCGTACTTTTCCCGCCGATTTCCGTGCATTTCCAGTGTCTGCATTTTGACTGAGAAAACTGCAAACTTGCAAAGGCCACAAGGAAGCTGTCACACCTTGCCCCGCCGCAAATGGAGACAAATGACCTGCATGACGGGCCATACAAATTGCAAATTGTTTTTAAGCGCATCCAGGAGCTCCAAAAACGCTCACAGCCTGCTAAAGGCGATTTCCGTCAAGTTTTCTAAACAAGTGTTCATGCACGTTTTTTTGTTTTTTTTGTACGGAAGTTTCAGTACATTCGGAGGGTGCAGGTATGCCCGTTGCGTCGCCGGGATTCAAGAGGCCTGCTTTATCCCTTCAATGGTGGTTGATGGTAACTTTGAGTCCTGCCCCGCCCTCCAACCACGAACGCATTTCCATCCAAGGCCCCCTCTTCTCCCAATGTGTCCGTTTCCAGACACTGGTGAAAGTCTCTCAGGATCCTTGGTTGATCCCACCCCGGCAGGGGAAACAAAGGCATCCCCTTCACAGGAACTCTACACTTCACTTCACTTCTAGGACAGCCCTTCATTTCGCATGTGTCGATCAATTCATGCTCACGCCCAAATCCGAGTCTCGGCAAGGTCAGCCCGACCAACACCAACCCCTTTGGCAACCCGTCATCGACCCTAGAGATCATTGTGGAGTCTCAAACCCGATTTTCACCAAACGACCCTTGCCCTCCCCCCCCCCCTCTACCATACCTACCCTCCCTTCGCCCTCCCCCCCCGGTCGCGCGCGCGCGTCCGAGCGCGCGTTAAAAGGGTCCTCGTGGGCACGCTGGGCGTGGCGCGACAGCTGGCAGTGATTGGCCTCGAGGTGCTGCAGGTGGCTTCGCACCTCTGCGAGCTCCTCCTGGCGCCTCCTCGTTAAGCAGACAGATCGATCGGGGGGGTTGATCCGTCCCCTCGGTTTGCAAACAAATAGGTCAAATGAAAAAAAAGGGGTGGATCCATCCCCTGGGTTTGCAAACATGAAAAATAGGTTCATCCCCTTGTTGTTGCCTTCCTGTGATGGGAAACGAGGATTCCTTTGAGCTTCCTTTTTGGGGAATTGCGCCAAACAAAGACATGAGTTTGGCACCCAAAAAAAAACACGGGTCAACATATCCCCACAAATGGGGCAAACATGTGGGGGTACACTTGTCTTTACAAACACTCCAAAAGGGGTCTCTAATCTCAGGAAACCGCCATAGGCTTGAGGTGGACAGGTATGTCGCCACCAAGTGTGGCTCCCATTCACAGGTCTCCGTGATCCTGTTTGATGGGGAAGGGCAAATCAATTCAAGCGCATTGTGGATGGTCTTGGTTTTGCATTGCCTTTTGTTCCACTGACCATCGATTGCGCTGCTTGCTTCGGTCCTCTCCACCTCCATCCGCTGGCGATGTGCCAGCACCGCCTGAGCCTCACTGTCCGCCAGCTTCTCCTGGCGAATTTGAGCCTCGAAGAGTGCTGTTCGCCTTCCCCCCACCTCCCCGGGTGGACATTGACACTGCAAACATGAACCCCAAAATCAAAATCCGTGGAGTCATGTCCTGGCGGGCATCGTTTCGGGGTTCCATGGTTTCTTTGGGGCAAACGTTGATGCCATGCGGTCTGCAGTCAACTCTATGCATCCGTGCGCTTGTGACTTGTGTGTGTGTGTGTGTGTGTTCGCAAATAACATGTTCAGGCGTGCACCTCATTCCGGAGCAGAAATTGCAGCAACGTCACTTGTCCAATATGGCACCTGGGAATGGCAAGGGAATCTGCTGACCTCTGATTGAACGGAACGTCCTAATTGACTCATCGAGGGGGTATCTTCAGCAGGCTACAGTCGAATTCAGATCCTAGCAAAGGCTCAAGCCTTTCAGCTGATGTTTCGTGCCGTTGCCACCCGCCTTTGCTAGAGCGCTGGCTTTCAATTTGCTTTGAGCCGCTTTGTTTTCGGTTGGCTGGTCAATGAGTGAATTGGTCGGCCAGTTGAGCGGGTCGGTCAGTCGGTTGGCATGTTGGGAAGCGGCCTTGTGCCTAGGCTTCCAGACTCCCTTCAGTTTTGGGGGATGCGCCGCGACACGCACGCACACAAGAACAGTGACACACACACACACACACAACCATGGAGGACCCTCTCGGCTTTCTGGCATTTAAAGGGAGACTACAAGGAAGCCACCACTTTGAGACCCCCCCCCCCCAAAGAAAATAGCAAAAGCACCAAACAAAACACAAAACATGTCTCCACGCGGTGAACGCATGGCTTTCCGCGCCTCGGCGCTCTTCAGGGCCGCCGTGGCCACGCGACCTACCGTTGCCACGCGTTCGCCGGGCCACAAAAGGCTAACTGCTTAATTTCGGCCGGGATGTTCGGAGGTTTCCTTAGGCAAGTGTAAGCCACAAGTTCTCAATGTTTCAACAGCCTCGAAACCACTCTAACTCCTCGATTAACTTGCTGGTGCTCAGTAGGGTTTGGGAATGACCCTAGGTTTCCTTGAAGGAAACCATAGAGGGATGGTGTTTTCGGCCTGGGGGTCGCTCCCTCATTCCCTGCTGAGACCCAGCAAGTTGAATCACCAAAGGAGGCCTGACGTTCCCGCCTGTCCGCTCCGCCGACTCCTCCGGCCGTCGATCCAGCAGCATCTGCAGCTTCTGCCGCGCACCTTCAGAGGCCTCGGGGGGTTCTCACGCAGACCGGTGTCCTCGCGGCTTCTTTCAACCCCAAAACGAGGCAACTCCAAGCCATCCAAAAACCCCAGCCACTGGTTGCAACCAGTGGCCCAAAAGGTAGAACCAACAGTTCAGAACCATTTTGTGGAGGAAAAACACAACAACAACGAGGAGAAAAATCTATTGAACAACGGGAGCCGGGCTCAAAAAAAACAGGGGTCCCAAAAACCGAAGTACGCGGCCCATCGTGGCTTGCTTGTGGGAAATTCAGTTTGCTGCCAATGTGCTATTTGATTCCAAGACGCTGAAAAGTGGGTGTGTAGTCATTTGATTTGGGAAGATGGGTAAGAGACTGGAAGAACATGTGAAGAGCGCAAGAGAGGCCACCTAATCACAGGGGAGTACGCATAGTCAAAGGAACGACTGTGTGCACGACTTTGTTAGAGCTTAAAATCAGCCCTGCCAATTGGGTTAGCAAAGCCAAACACATTAACCCCTCAAACTCCGCCACAGTCAGAGAGCATCGACGCCCCACAAGTCCGAACCTCGCTTCTCCTCCGAACAAGTGAAAACAAGATGTGGTGATCCTAAATGGATTCTAACAAATGGGGTTAGATAGGGCGCAACACGCGCGACTCCGCTTAGGGTCCCTTGAAGCCCTTCTGCCACTGCGGCCCATCGATCCACGCGCACGACGGCCAGAATCGACCCGCCTGGAGTTCGTCCTCACAGCAGCGGAGCTTCTGCTGCAAGTCCTGTGGGTCGGAGGGTTGGTGCGGACGAATTGCTGACTACAGCAACATGTTGATGAAAGGCCTTCAAACCACTCAAAAGTGATCGCTCTCCCAGCTGAAAAATATGCCTTGTCCCTATTCATGAATATTCGCAGGGGGCCAAGTGATATTCTTAGTAGGAATTAGGGGGGTCAATTGGGTTCACAAATTGTATCTTTGCAAATGGGGTGCAGTATATACAAACCTCGAAAGAGTAACACAAATTTGGAATTGCTAGTACGTCTTGGTACAGGGAGCTTGGGGCAAGAAATCAGTCGATCAATTAGTTTCGTATCTTAGACTATTCATTGAGTCAAAAAAAACTGAAGACTTTGTTGAGTAGCTTATGGTGGCTGAAGCAGATTGTTTTGTTGATTTTTTATATTTGAATGTTTTTATTTCGCCTGAAAGCTAGAGCTGGCTTCAGCGCGAGTTTTTTTTACCATGTTGAAAGACGAGGTCAATCGCCCGGTCCTGGGCCTCCCGCTGGTGCTGGCAGGCGGTGCCCTGCACTCGGAACCACTCGCCTCGAGCGCGCGTGTCAGCCAGCGAAGAACTGGGGCGGTGTCTCAGTGTCTCAAACTTGGATGGTGGTAGGGTCACTCTCTTGCAGAAATGGAAGGACCAGCTTTGCCGAAATGAAAGGAAATCGCTTGTTGGCGGCCAACCGAAAATTGCAACTAGTGAACTGGTTGAAATCAACTGGTTTCGGGCAAGGGGGGGGAGGTGGTAACGTGGCGCGTAGACAAATCAAGGATTGCAAGTGATGTTGGACTCCTTTGACGTGTCCCCGCATGTGTCTAACTTCATGCTGCACAATCTAGCATTCTACTGGCTGAGCCCTTTTGCTTTTGGTAATGTTGACTCAGGTTAATAAACCCGTCCCATTATGAGGGGGTGTTCCAACTCCAAAAGTGGTATGAATCCAACCACTAAAAGGAATTGGACACCCCCCAATTCATCAACTAGGGGTTTGTTAATCCGGGGTTAACATTATTGGTATTGCCCACGGTGCCATGGGATCAACAAGCAGTCGCTTGTTCTCCCGCACGGGGCGACGCTGCGACGCTTACAACAGGCGAATCCCCGGCTGTCCAGCCAGCGCGTGCGCCAACCGCCAGAGGCCAGCGGGCCAGCGGGCTGGCTTAGACGCGCTCCCTGAATTTCCAGAATAAGAGGAAACCCTATGGGAGGAGGAGAAAGACGAAGCAACCAGAAAAACAGAGAAAGGAAAAGGTCGAGAGACAAGCTAAGCTACGGTGCAGATTCGTCAGGCTGTGGATTTCTGACCGAAAAACAACTGGAAAGAAAGGCTGGGAGGCGCAGCTAAAAAAATCCATCTGCTGGGGCGGGAACTGCAAAGTTGACAAAGAAAATCGCCTGACATCTAAATCACCGAGACAAACTGGCAGCCAGCAAACCAGACTTCAGCAAATCCTCCAAACCTTCAAAACTCTAAATACTCTGAACACCCAACCCCGAAACCCTCCCTCAAAACCATCGCCCTCCTAACCAAAACGAAAACTCGGTTGCTTTTTGCTCCCCTGCTAAAAGCTTGACTTTGGGTAGCTTAATGAAAACCCCATTGGCAAAAGATTAAAGTCCTAACATCCAAGCAAAATGCACCAAAGAAGAAAAATAAAAAACACATCGCCTTCCTCACCAAACGCAAAAAAAGGCCACCGTTTTCGCCCAACTTGAGCCCTTGGCAGGGCTGCAACGGCGCGCTGCTGCCGCGGATGGACTCGCAGCATCGCTCCTGGCAGCGCCGCGGCGCAAGCGCCTGGCGCTTGGTGGCGACAGACCGAGGCCGCGGGACGTTGGAAGTTCGTTGATGTCTAGGAGACGGTGTTGATGCGTGTTATTCTTTTTTGTGGATCCACCCCTGTATTAGGATAGTAAATGTTTGCGGTTTTTGCGGATCCAAAGGGGTTTAAAGGTTTGTGTATTTTTTTGATCCACCCCTTGAGGCTATAGCAAAAGAGTACTAACATACTATTAAAAGAGTAACTGGAAAAACAACAGGGGGAATCCACAGAAAACGCATCCAATCCGGTACTGGAGGAACTAGACGATTACCCTTCTACAAATTAACATGGAACCTGGAGACCACGTTCCGCTTGCAGGGCCCCCCTGTCAGGTTCCATGTGAATTGGTGGGTATCTTAATGTGTTAATGTTCTCGTTTTAGGTCTTTCCGTGTTTCTTTACAAAAGCTTTCCTCTTATGTAAGTACTGCAACGTAGAGCTACACCAGGGCTCCAACATCGAGTTTTTGTTTAGGGCATGGGACAATGGGGCGGGCCCGGAAAATATCCTCCCAACACAATAGACCAGCAGTATTTATGCCAGTTGCTCATGTACTTGAATCTTCAACTCGCTTAACCTGGGCAACACATCCAAAAATCCTGATAACTGTCCTGTGTACCATAAGCATTATAACCTACTACAACGTGAGTCGAATGTCCGCGTGGGAAAACCCACCCCATGACCCCACCCCCAACCTTCAAGCACCAATGAGAAGATTCTTGAAAACTCACACCAACTTGCTGCTTCTCGCCATATGAGGGAATTACCCATATGAACCATCCCCAACACTCATATGTTTGTCAAGCCCCCCAAAAAAAACACAAAACACAAAACACAAAACATCATCCCCAATCTTGAGCATTAGCAGCTAACAGCAGCTGGAAGATTCACCAGGAGGGTCTAATTATTTTGGTATAGCGATTATTGCGTGTTACACCCGGACCCACTTCCCCACCACTTCCCCTCCGCCCCCTCCGCCCTGCCCACCCCGCCTCCGCCGCCTTGCAGCGCTGGGCCTCTCGTTGCGCCTCCACGGCCTCCGTGGCCATGGCCCGCGAGGTCAGCCGCTCCTCAGGCGGGCGGGCGGCTCGCCCGCCGCGGGCCGGCGGCCGCGGGCCGGCAGGCGGGGGGAGGGCCCTCGCTTTTGGGGTTGGTTCCTATTTTTGGGGGCGCCTTGAAAGTCACTTGGGTTTCTTCTCCCAACCATTCTCTTCAGGGATCCTTACTGTCAGAGCATGGCTAAACCCCTTTCGAATCTGAGTCGAGTCGGAAAAGAACGAGTGAAAGGAATGACGGAGCAACCTGGAAGGGCACCACGCGTTGTTTCAACCTGCCAGGGGCTCGCCTCATGCGGCTCCATGGCACGCTTCTCTGAATCCGGGCGCTCCATGGCTGAGAAACAACCGGCTGCTCGGTACGGGGCGTTGCGCGTTGCCCACAAGCAAATTGAGAGACCTCCTCAAAGACAGGAATCGCATCTGGGGCACTTGCATAGGTTTCCTGTTTGGAGAAATGGAAGCCACTGATACATGCTTGGCACCTACTTAAATTGAATGGGATCCATATGTTCAACCAAACCGACCCAACGCCCACCAAGTGCAACTCAAAGAACCTGGTTCCTGGACCGGGAGTCTGAAAAATCACAAATCCATCCCCTGTTGTGTTCTTTCCTTTTTCGAAAATTAACGAGTATTGGCAATTCGGAAATTCGGGGGTTTCTCAAAATAGTGGTCTAAAGTGGCAATGGTATCCTTTCGGTGTCCCTTTGGCTTTCCCTTTCCACCAAAAGCGGTCCACCATTTTGAGAAGCTCTCAACCACACGGGTGTCTTCTTGCGAGGCTATGATTTCAACGGGAAACTCAAGGAACCAAACAACATAGCAAAAGCCTTCTTTGTGTCGGGGTATGACTTCAACGGGCCAAAAGTTGACGGGAAAAACAGGGGAACAAAAACAACAAAAACACATCGAACAAAGGGGCCCGGTTCACCACCGTTCAAGCAACGCAACAAAAAAGAGGAATCTCTTTGTCAGGCTATGAAATCAAACAGAACAAACAAAAGGGACACCAACAAAAACGCAACCACCCGGCCGCCCCGAGGCCCGTGGCGCCAAGGGGCCATCTCCAGGCTGCGCTCCAAGGCCTCAGCGCGCGCCCAGGCGGCGTCGCGCTCCACGATGAGCTCCTCCCGGGAGGGGCCCTCCACCTCGACGCGTCCGCGAGCGGAGAAAAAAATAAAAAGCACTCGGGCGGTCTGGTGATCGAAAAAGGGGGTGGAGTTCCCTGACACTGGCCGGTTTGAAGTTTGAGGTGTGGTGTTTTTGGGTGCGGCCTGGCTAATGTTGTTGTTATGGTTGCCTTCTGGACTTGTTTGTTGTTGCTCTTTGTGGCACGAAGCGTGCCACAAAACCCCTCTGATGTCCCCCAAAACATATTCCAGACGTGATGGTGGCATTGAGGGGCTTACCCAAAACCCATGATGCAGAATCAAAAGGGCCAGATTGCTGCCTCCGACTAACCTTTGTCGACCTTGCTTGCATATCCTTTTTTCCGGCGGGAGCTGAGAGCGAGCATGCGCAATCAACAAGAGGAAGGCGCATTCCGTGTGCTTGCTTTCCCATTGGCCCGTATTTGGTCAAGGACAAAGCATTGGAATTGGAAGTAGCCGTTGATGTTGAGATAGACCAATGGTCACCCTGGCTGAGGACAGACGGAATAGGCAAACTTGGCGATTAGCTCAAAGGTGCAAACCGCCAGACACTTGTTGCCCGGAATCTGCTGAGCCTGCGGAACCGACGATGAGAGCAGCCCAGACAATAAGGCAAATACTAAAAAACAACATGGCATGACATCGCAAATGGCACGAGTAAGCCCTTTACCGGTGACGCCAAAATTGGTTGGGGGGTTCAGGCAATGTCAGGCCAAAGCGAACAACATACATGTTGATAAACCGGAGGTGCTGGAAATGCGCCCGGCAATCACGAACAAATTAAGTTAAGAATTTAGAAGGCCTAGGCTTCAGGAGTATATCTCCAAATCAGGTACCCTCAAACAAAATGCTTCCTTGCCAGGGGATTTGTTAGGAGGCTTCAGCATAAAGGGCATCCTGAAACATGAGAAAATGTTTGCATTGTTGCGTGGGTTCCCTTTTAACACCAGGAGGAAGGACTCCAAATCTCACCCCTCCTCCCCATTTCCGGAAACAGCCGAATCTGACCGGGAACACTCTCGGTTCGGTTTGTGACAGGTTGAAGGAACATGACCAAGTGAGCACATTGCACTAGTTGTTCCTGCGTGTGCTTTGTTTGAGAAAAACAAAACTTCTGGCTCCAAAAGCTACTGATGAGTGGAAGTGCTGATTGAAAGCGCTGCGTTGCGTGCACGGAAGCCCCACTCAGAATGCTATCGTTCGGTCCAACATGCAGGGCCACGCCGATGTTCTATCAAACCAACCCAATCAACCAAACCACCCAATCCAACCTCAACCGACCAAACCAACACAATCAAACCAAACGAGTCCAAACCAATCCAAGCAAATCCAGCAAACCATCTCAATCAACCAATCCAAAACCAAAATCTTCAAAAATCCAACCCCCTGCCCCCTGGCTTCCACCCGCTTCCACCTGCCCGGCAGGTGCCTGAAAGAGTGCCTTCCGTACCCCGGCGTCGTCCAGGCCCCACAGCTCTGCCCGTAACTGCGCGGCCTCAAGGTGACGTCCACTAACCCGGAGGAACGGTGCACATGTGGTGTTTTCTTTTGTTTCTTTTCCGAACACATTTTAAGGGTGGTGCTGAAGGGAAACCAAAGGAAACACAAAGGAAGCCAAGGACTTTCTGAGGTTGGTTGAAAAGGGACAGTTTAAAGGAAACCAAAAAGTTGGACCAAGGGTCCAATGGTCTCCGAACATGGTTGAAACCAGGACACAGTCAGGTGCTATCATTGTGGATCGGTAAGTTTACTCTACCAAACATGAAGCAAAGGATCCCTTCTAAAAGGAGCGTGCAGCGTTTGCACTCCACTACTGGGAAGCATGGTTGACCTTTGGTGGGCATGGGCATTCATGTCCATAAATGACTTCTAGGAAGGGTGAGAAGGGTGCCTCTGCTTGGGTGCTCAAGGAAGTTGATAGGAATCCAACCACGAGGGATCTCTAATTGAAGTCATAATCAAAACCTGGTAAGGGGTCTACCCACAACCCATGGTAAAGAATCAAAGGGGCGCACATGTGCATCATCGACGGTTGCGACTTTCCCCTAAGAACCCTCATTTACCCACGTCTTGACTGTGGCTTACATTGGTGCTTTCCAAGCAACGACCAGACACACCAACTCTCCCACGCAAATAGTCTTTTAGAGTGACCGAATCGTTTTGGGATACATTGAATTCTGGACTCAAGAAAGCAGCAACAAGCCTGATATTATGCAAACCATTCCATGCTATGGAAAGTCCCAAGCTGATGTAATCACCTGGTCTTGGAAGCCGCGGGTCAAGACAACGTGTCCAAATGCTTAGCCCATGCCCCAGTTCCTTTCCGAGATGGTCCCTTCAAAAGGGAACTCATCTTGCAGCAGTCCCAGAAGAGCGCGTGTGTGTGTTTGCCGGGCCCGCAAAGTCAGAAACATCTTGCACTTGTCTTGCAGATTTGTGTATGTATATCTCTATATATATATATGTATACATATTGAACGCCCCTCCGTGAACTACCTCTTTAAGGTAGGTAGTTCATGCAAGGCGGGGGGAGCACATACATGTGTATATATATATATATACATATATACATGTATATATATATACATATGTCATCATATGAATGATGTACCTAAAAAGTCCGAAGGGCTTCAAACTCCAAGAACTCTTAGCAGGGTGGGGCCGAAGATCTGCTTGCACCGGCAGAAGATCTTTCTTCAGGGCTTTCTCTCAGCACCCTGTTTCGTCACCATTTTGCCACCCTAAGCTTCCCCTTTCAAGTGATCCCGTAACTAGGTCTGAGCAAACTTCACAAAATCACCCATCTCCGCAACACATCACCCATCTCCTCTCCGTTTCCTTCGGAGAAAAAACGGAAAAAAAATACACCTTTGGGATTCCTTTTGGACTCCTTTTTGTCTCCTGGCAATTTCACCCCTCGACTAAAACCTGCCTCCATCTGCAGCTCGCTCCGCAGCCGCTCCGAGGGGCTGGCCATGGCATTAGGGCGCCGCGGCGGAGGCGCGAGTTGGACGTTGGGGGGACAAACGCGTGGACGACTTTCTCCGTTGAACGGGGGGGGGGGGTGTTATCCATTGGACACGGGGTGCGGTGGGGGGGGGGGGTTATCCGCTGAACACGGTGTGTGTGTGTGTGTGTTATCCGGGCGGGTTGTCCGTTGAACATGGGCGGGGGTGATCCATTGAACATGGGGGGGGGGGTGATCCATTAAACATTGGGGGGGGGAGGGGAGGTTATGACTTTAGATTACTTGATCCATTGAACTGGGGACTTTGGATGACACAAGGCGCACTTAGCATGACTTTATCCATTGAACTTGGGGGTGGTTCTCCGTTGACACATCGGGCGGGGGGGGGGGGGGAACTTATGTATTTTGAGTTCGTCGGACCTGATGGTGAATATCATTTGTGCGGGGGGAGTGTATGAACTTTGACTTGGGTAATATCCAAAAACACATCGGTATGAATATCAATTGGAACCTAACCCTTTGGTCGACAATTTTTTGTATGGTTGGATTGATGTCCACCTTTCTGTATGGTTGAGTGTATTGCAACCTCGAAACCGTAGCCACGTGAGTATTTGCTTCAACAAGAAAGCCCTCGTTGAGCGAACTAATCTCAACTCCTCATGCAGTTCTAATACTCAGTTGCCCAAAGGACCTGGAACTAAAAGGTTAAGCTTTTGGGGCCATGACTAAATATGGATCAACATGGGGAAAACCAAAGGGTCAAAAGGTCGATTCGCTTTGAACAACTGAGAATAAGCGTATTCAAAATGGTGGAGGGCCAGCCATTTTTTACAGGCAGAATGGTTGGCGAGCGCAGCGTTCACTTCTCGCGGTTCTCTGGCTCCTCTGTTTCCATTTCACGCTTGCCGGTCAGCGAGCTTAGCTGAGCCACAACAATTCCGCGAGAGGGCACTGTGTGGTACTAAACTCCTGAGTCGAGGTCTTCAGAGATAGGGCAGGCAATAAGTTATAAGTGTTTTGCTTCACCCACTGCGCTACTTCGGATACAGCCAGACAGCCAGCCACCTTTGTTTTCACTTCTTCTCACCTAACCCTGAGCGAAGCCAAACAATGGATTGCCAACGCAAACGGCAGCTAAACAGCAGATTCTCCTCAGCGCCGTGTGCGGAAACAGCTAGTTTTCGCTCGAATGTACCGGGCGAAGACAGTTTCTTGTCTTTGAAGGGGCAACCGGAACGCAAACGCACCCCTCACAACTAGCAGTGCGGGGACATTTGGAATCATGCACTCCCAGGGCTCCCATGTTCTTAGTGCATTAAACTGGCAGTTTGGGGCGCTACAGTAGGTGGATGTCTTCCGAGATCAACCAACAGGAGCTGTGGGGTTCAACTGCAAAAACCAGGCCATGTCTGGCAAGCTGCACTGCACGCTGCAAAGGCAGAACTCCAAAGCCCAGAAAACCAACGGAGCTTTCAGCATATCGCCACCGAGGCAAAACATGTCCTGGGAAAACCGGCTCGAAGGTCTGTGAGACGCTAAGCGGCACAAACGTACCCTCCTCAGGTGACCACGGATGCCAAACAACGAAAGAACGTCTTGTCACCCAAAAAGTGGAAACGGTGAGCGTGGCTATGTGACTGTCTCCGAGAGGAGTTCCATCGTCTGGGTCTGACAGCACCCGTCAAGGGCACAGTCCAGTCATATTCACATTGGAATGTGTCGGCTAGGTATTCAGGCAACCATAATTTGAACTCAGGCTTTATCCATGCGACCGTCTGCCTAAGCCGCACAAATTGCAAACAAGGCCGACTTGCTGTGACTTTTTATCGCATGCGCCACTCGTCTTGCGTCCCGCTCAGCAAATTAGCCAAGGCAAGGGATAGCTGGATGATGATCCATCCGACGTGTTGACATTGCTTGTTCTAGCTGCCTGCCTACAGCAAACACATCGCTTGCTTGGGGTTGCAACCCATCGATTGGCTGCTTGCGTCGCACATTAGTTGCTCTGGGCCAACCGCAAAACATCCACAGGCGGTGAATGAGCAACCACCCAACAAAAATATGGGCTTGTATTTTTTTTAGGGTGGTCGGGCAGGAAGGTTTGAGTACGGGGTATGATTCGCAGGTATGATTCGCGGGTATGATTCGGGGTATGATTCGGGGGTATGATTCGCGGAAGCAGCAGCATAGTCGCCGAAGTAGTAGTACTAGTAGCAATATTGTAGTAGTAGCAATAGTAGTAGTAGTAGTAGGAGTAGTAGTAGAGTAGGAGTAGTAGTAGTAGTAGTAGTAGTAGCAACAGTAGAAGCAGCGACTGTAGTGGCGCGGAAGCTGTGAAAAAGACTTAGCACTAGCCTTGGCAGGGGAAGCCCATTGTCCGGGTATGATTCGGGTATGATTCGCGGGTATGATTCGGCTAGGTGCAAAACGGCACTGGTTACAGACTCAGAATGATGTATGTGGTAGTAGTGAGTAGTAGCAGCAGCAGCAGCAGAAGCAGGAATAGTAGTAGTAGTAGAGGTAGTAGTAGTAGTAGTAGTAGTAGTCAAGGTTGTAGTCGTAGTAGTAGTAGTAGTAGTAGTAGTAGTAGTCAAGGTTGTAGTCGTAGTAGTAGTAGTAGTAGAAATAAAGGTAGTAGTCGTAGTAGTAGTAGTAGTAGTAGTAGTAGTAGTAGTAGTCAAGGTTGTAGTCGTAGTAGTTAGTAGTAAGGGTAGCAGAAGCAGAAGTAGAAGCAGTAGAGTAGTAGTAGCAGCGGTAGTAGCGGTGGTAGTGGTAGTAATACGCGTAGTCGCGGCAGTAGCAGTAGTAGTAGTAGTGGTAGTAGTAGTAGTAGTAGTAGTAGTGGTAGTAGCAGTAGTAGTAGTAATTGGAGTAGTAGTACTAGTAGTAGTAGTAGCAGTAGTAGTAGTAGTAGTGGCAGTGGCAGTGGCAGTGGTAGTATTGAGTAGCGCTGGTGGTTGGTTGTTGTGGAGACAGTGAACAACACAAAACGGTAGAAGAACAGTAGCATCTTGCAGCATACGTTTTAAGGGGTATGATTCGGGGGTATGATTCGGGGTATGATTCGGGGGTATGATTCGGGGGTATGATTCGGGGAGGTCCCACCTTCTGCCTTTTGAAGCAACTCAACACACCAAAAAAGGACAAGCCCAATATATATTACTGGCCAGCACCCCATCCTCCCAGCAATTGCGCCAATAACCCCCCAACCAACCAGCTTCCGAGTACCAGCTGTGGACGATGCGAGCAAACATCAAGCCACCAGCCAATCAAATAACACATTGACATGCAGTGTCTTGCACATAATCCAGCCTTTGAAGCTTCCGCAGTTAGCCTAAGCGGTTGACCCCCAGTAAAGAAGTGCTACGACAAAAGTAACTTAGTACATGAAATGGGGATGGTTGGGTGCTCGCATTCTTCAACCAGGCAAGGCTATCATCACCTAACATCCCGTTCCAACAATACCAATGCCAGGAGCTTAGACTCATTTCCTGTTCGGATTGGTAGATGAACACGTCGAAACGTTTCGTGTCCGATTCAAATGGTCTCCGGAAAAAGGCGGAAGTCCACGAAATACGGAACGGAAACAAAAAGAAACATATTTTTGACACCCCTTACCTGCGGCCGCCGGCTGAGCGGGTAAAGACCTGCACCCCCTGTACATTCCGTGGGGCCGCAAATTCCGTCCGCTGCCTTGCAGCGTAGTGTCACGCGCCGATTGGGCGCCTCACGCGCCCGCTCGGGGCGTCGAGCCTGGATTCTGAGGAATATGGAGTTGTCTCAAAGGTCACAAACAAATTTATGGTTTTCTTTTGGACTCCAATTTTGACGCAGCTTCAAACGGGTAGCCTCCACAGAAAACAGACCCAGGCAGCGTGTTGGTTGAACAACACCTAGACTACAGCTGGTGCGTGCTCCACTCGTGCAGATTGCGGCATCAAACTTCGGCGCTGCACGCAGCCGCACCCTTTAAATGCAAATTTCGACCACTGTGAAGTCGTGGGCCATGCAAGCAACAATTTCAATGCACCGGGTTGCCTTGGGCAAATGTGTTTGATTTGGAGCTGGCACGCGAACATGTTGCTTGTCCAACGCAGCGAGTTCAAAACCTTTCACCCGGTTCAAGCACTCAGCAATCAGGGTGATTGCCTTCTCAATCCCACGGTTGTTGCTCGCTGACCCGGGCCTTGGTCAATTCCAACTTGGTATCTTACCTGGCGGCCTGAGCACCTGAGCGACGTAAGAGAGAAGCTCAGAAATGGCGCTGGTTCCCTGGCGAAATGGCCACTTCTCGCGGATCAGACACATGTGCCAAATCTGGCCCCCAAGTCTCGCTTGTCGTCCACGGCCATGCGTCAACCGTCGCCAACCCCCCCCCCCCCCCCACCAGCTCAACAAGACATTCTCTCTACACGGGAGCCGGGAGATCAGCAGCTTCCGCATTCGAGAAGCGAGATGTCGGATGCTTCTGGAACAGGATCAACCACAAGACACCCTCAATCCCGTGAAGGAGACGCGGAGCATCAAAAGCTGCATGAGGGGCGCAACCACAGTAACTCTGTGTACATGCGGCATATGGTGCCCCTTTGGATTCAAAATATAATATGTTTCTTTTCAAAACAACATGTAGGCCAAGATGTCGGTTGAATTCACATTGACCCTCAGACAGTCCCATGGTGCGTTGGGTCTGAAAGGCCGTCCACCTGGCATTATGTTTAGGAGTGGGTGCTCGCGCAGAGCATCGTACTTTAGACATTCTGTGATCAAAGATACTCCTCGCGCCCCCCACTTACTGTAGATCTCTATAGACATCTGCAATCGCGCAAAGAGCCGAACCTCGCGGCCCAGCTGGTCAACTGCAAAACAATGGCTCCAAAAAAAACCTAAAACATATTTGGGCTTCTTTACTATGCGCAATTCTGATTCACCGGCCTCAACTTGGACGCCTCAGATTCCACCAGTCGTTTCGC